AATGTATTTCCCAGCATGCCACATTCAACCTCTTCCAACTCTAGAGAGCTAGTGAGTCTTACTTATTTGTTTTTGGCTCAAAGAAGAGTAAAATGATGATTCCAATACACAGAGGCAAGACTTTCAAGCCAATAGGAATTGTGACAATGACTAGTTTTTATATTATTATTATTATTATTTTGTTTTTGTCAGTCCTAAGACTTGAACTCAGGGCCTGGGCGCTGTCCCTGAGCTCTTTTGCTCAAGGCTGGCGCTCTACCACTTGAGCCACAGCACCACTTCCAGTTGTCTGGTGGTTCATTGGAGATAAGAGACTCACAGACTTTCCTACCCCGGGGTTGGCTTCCAATTGCGATCCTCAGATCTCAGACTCCAGAGTAGCTGGGATGACTGGCGTGAGCCACCCATACCCTGCCAGATTACTTCTTCCTATGTACTTCACAGCAGTACTAAAACTTAGGTGACACTGTGAACTTAATTTTCAAGTGACATGGGGTTTAGACCTCTGTCAGATAAAATGGACGGAAAATGAATATTCTATTTATATTTACTAAAACAACCGTGCTAATGAAATTGTTTTTGGACCAATGGCTGTATAAAAGAGGGTATATCATTTTTCTTCACTTTTTGCAAATACCTAGCACTTTTTCTTTCAGATTTCTTTATGTGTGTGTGGAGGGGAGGGAGGAAGGAGGGAAAGCAAAGTGATATTGTTTCCAGAACTTGCTGTTCGCTGAGATGGTGTCCCGCAGACACTTTTGTGAAAAACACCTTGATAGAAAGAGGAAGCCAGCGGATGGATGGGAAATGCTAGTGACACCTATCTTCCCTTCACGGAAAGAGGGAAGCGATAATTTCTTAGTTATTATGAGGCCAAGGTAAAACAGAAAAACAAAAGGTGAATTTATAGCGATATCGTGATTCTGGAAAGCGAAGGATGGATGATTTCGTCTTGGAGAAAACATCTGACATGAAAGTGAGGGGAAAGAGGGAGGGAGAGAAAGAGAGAGAGAGAGAGAGAGACAGACAGACAGACAGAAAGTGAGAGAGAGAGCAGTTACTCTCTGCTGTATCCATTTGCATGTCTTTCTCATTGTTTAAAGCTGACAGAATGACAGCACACAGTTCTTATTTTTATTTTTTGGTTGTGGGACTTGAACTCAGGACCTGGGTGCTGTTCCTGAGCTCTTTCACTCAAGGCTGGTGCTCTACCACTTGAGCCACAGCTCCACTTCCAGTTTTCTGGTGGTTCATTGGAGATCAGAGTCTCATGGACTTTCCTGCCCAGGCTGGCTTTGAACCACGATCCTCAGATCTCAGCCTCCTGAGTAGCTGGGATTACAGGTGGGAGCCACAGGTGCCCGGTGATCATTTTGTTTTTGGTTCCCAATCATTCAACACCTCAAACCTTTTGTCCCAGGAATAAAAGGATTGTCATGGACATTATGTTCTCAATGTACGTGTTCATATCAGCCAGAGAATAACAGTTATCAGGAGCAATATATTTTATAGAAAAGGTGAGAAGGACACTTATAATTTCAAGTTACTGGATGCAGAATTATTATTATTACTATTATTATTATTGCTTCTTTTCATATAGTTCCCTCATTTGAGAAATGGTTCCTAAATTCTAGGTAAGAAGAAAGCTCAGATAATACAGTCCTCACAGTTCATGTTCACAGGTGAACACAAAGCCAGGTGGCTTGAGGGGAGGGGCAGGAGGAGGGAGGAGAGAGGGGGAGATGGAGAGAAGGGGTGATGTGGGTCAAGATGCATTGTCCTCATAACCTGATCTATTGAATGGAAACCCTTCTGTAGAACTACTTAAAGATTGGTCATTTTCAAGCCGGGCACTGGTGGCTCACACCTGTCATCCCAGCTACTTAGGAGGCTGAGATCTGAGGATCATGGTTCAAGGCCAGCCTGGGCAGGAAAGTCTATGAGACTCTCATCTTCAATGAACCACCAGAAAACCAGAAGTGGCGCTGTGGCTCAAGTGGTAGAGCATTAGCCTTGGGCTGAAGAGCTCAGGGACAGAGCCTATGTATCCAAGTGCGTTTGAATGTGTCTGAGGGGTTTCAAACTCCCTTCTCTCTAGCTCTGCCCTTCCGTGGTAGATCCAGTGCCCAGCTCCCTGCTGGTCCAGGCTCCTGAAATCACCATGCCAACACTCTGGAGGGCTCTCTCCCATCCCCCTCTCGGCCCCAGCCTGCACGTGCACAGCTGGGCCTGAGCGATGCTGGCTCATTCCACTCAGGAGTCATGCATGGCACATCTGTAACCAAGCCCAGGCCTGGCCTAGATTCAGCTGAGATGCCAGTCAATAATACAGGAAGGGGGGGAAAATCCCTGCACACACACACACACAGAATGGTTCCAATGGGAGCTTCCTCTCCGGTGGTTCCCATATTCGGGGTTTTATTTTATTTAAGATTTTTCTTTTTCCCAGTGATAACAATTTCCTAGCACATACACGTTGACACTAATATTCTCTTCCTTCATTAAGACTTAATAATGGGAGTATATACTTAAATAAAAGAAGCCGGCGGTGATGCTCATCCAACCATGACCTTGCCTGCTGCAGTTTGTAAAAGCAGGTGCATTGGGCACTTTGGACCTGTGGGGTTTTTACTGCAGCTTAAAAATATCTGCAAAAAGGACAGAGCTAATAAATAGAAAGCTCATGGAAGGGGAGTATTTTTTCCCAGCTGTGTATCAGACAAGGACCTCAGATCTAAAATATACTTAGAGTTCAAAACAATTAATGCCTCCCCCCCAAATAAACTCTCAAAGAATCAACAACCCAGTTATTAAATCAGAAAAGAACCTTATATCTAAAATATACTTAGAGTTCAAAATGATTAACACCTTCCCCCAAATAAACCCTCAAAGAATCAGCAACCCAATTAATAAATGGGCTAAAGAGTTAAAGAGGGACTTCTCAGAGGACGAAGTAAGCATGGCCAAATAGGAAGAGATGTTCAACATCTCTGGCCATAAAAGAAACACAAATCAAAACCACATCGAGATTCTACCTCAACCCAGTTAGAATGGCCATTATCAAGAAAACCAACAATAACAGATACTGGTGGGAAGGTGGCCAAAAGGGAACACTACTACACTGTTGGTGGGAATGTAAACTTGTTCAACCACTCTGGAAAGCAGTATGGAGATTCCTGAAAAGACTAAGCATAAAGCTCCTCTATGCAATCCTACTCCTGGCATTTATTCAATTGACCACAAACCAGGCCACACTAAAGCCACCAGCACAACCATGTTCATTGCAGCATTTTTTTACCTTAGCCAAGATACGGAATCAGCCCAGATGCCCCTCAGTGGACAAATAGATCAAGAAAATGTAGTGTAGACACACAATGGAATTCTATGCTTCCATAAAAAATAATGATACAAGGAAATAGAAAGACTTGGAAAAAAATTATATTAAGTGAAGTAAGCCAGACCCAAAGAAACATAAGTTGCATGATTTCCCTCATTTGTGGTAGCTAGAATGTGCCTATAAATCTACAAGTAAACACACTGGATGGTTAAAAAAAAGAAACCACTGGGACATGATAAATATACAGGTCTCTAAACATTCACACAATGAGCCCAAAGGAGGATAATCTTAGGAGAGGATCATAAAGGTGCAATAACAATGTGTATAAAATAATGTTTTATGAAATGAACTCCAACAAATTGAAATGAGATTTTGTGGTTGTTGTTTTTCTCCTTTTGTCTTATTTGTTCTTTCACCTATCTATCTCTGGGAAGTTGGGGGGGGACACAGAAATGGGGACCAGAGGTGGTCCTCATTGGACACCATGTGGAAAATGAACTCTGCTCCTCATGGGTGGGGATGGGAGGGAAAAACTGGGGGAGAGAGCGAGGGACATGGTCCAAAGAGAAACGTGCTCATGATCTGACAGATGTCACTGTCACCTCTCTGCATGTCACTTTTATCATCACAAAAAAATACATTAAAACCATGCATTGCTTCTGCTCACAGAAAGTGGTAAATAAAAACTTATTGCTCCAAACAACCACATGTTCACTTGTTAATAGAATGATGAAGGGTCTAAAAAAAGAATCTGCAAAACACAAAGAATCTATCCTGTTGAAGATGTACAGAGATTTTTTTTTCTCATTATTTCCTGAGCCATGCAGAATAAGTATTTATGTAGCAGGGACACCACATTAAGTCTTATTAGAGAATCCACGGTCGGTTAAATATTCAGGTCATCTGACGCCATTTTATAGGAGGGATGTGGCATCTCCTGGAGAGAGGGTAGAGTCTCCCAGGAAGATCTTGGGCATAGTCTAAGGCATAACTGTCCATATACCTCTTCCTCTGTTCCAGCCAAATCAAAACAGAGTAAAAGTAGGGGTTCGGCTGCAAATTGAAGCATAGAAAATCTTCAGACTCATCAAAGCGCACACAGAGAAAGAGGCGAGCCAAAATGTGCTCCATTTACACTTGGCAAAAAAGCTTGGCTCTCTAGGAAATTTCCAACAGGAAGAGTGGAAAAAAAAAAATATATATATTAGTGATCACATCCCAATGTTTGCAATGAGTGTTGCAAAGAAATGCGGTGCGTGCGTGCATGTGTGTGTGTGTGTGTGTGTGTGTGTGTGTGTGTGTGTGGTGGGGGAGGGGAGGAATGTCCTGGGGCTGGAGTGACAGCTCTACTTCCGGCATTTGGATGATTCATTCCCGTCCAAATGGGGGAGAAGGAGGGTGGAAGGGTGCTGTGCATCAAGATGTAGTGTCCTCATCACCTGCCATCTTGAATTGATACCCTTACTGGACAACTACTTGAAGATCGTTTGGAAAAGCAAATACGAATAATGATAAGAGCAATGATAATCACAAGGAGAAGGATTCCAACGGTCGACCCTTGAAGTTGAGGCTGTTATCCATTATAAGGTCTGCAGCTGCCCGGAGAAGATTACATTACATTGCAATTGAAATGGTCCCCCTCTCCTGTTGGAAATGAGCTCACCAGTACAGCCGATGAGCCAGCCGAACGCTCTGCAAAGAGCGATGCAGTAAGAGGTCCACCAGAGGGCTTTCGAGGCTCCACTCAAACTTCACAGCCTGAGGGAAGACACAGAGAACTTTAACTCCCCTTCTTCACCCCAACCCCTCCATTTGTCTCCGACCCTGAGACTCGAACTCAGGGCCTGGAAGTGGCTCTACCACTTGAGCCACAGCTCTAATTCTGCTTTGCTGGTGGTTCATTGGAGATAAAAGTCTCACAGGCTGTCCTGCCCCCAGGCTGGCTTTGAACCATGATCCTCAGATCTCAGCCTAGCTGGGATGGCAGGCGTGAGCACCGGTGCCCGGCTAGGGTTGAGTTATCTGCTGGGCCGAGTTGTAATATTCTTCTGAAGGAGTCAATTGTTGGTTCACTGGGAACCTTGGAGAGGATCTTTAAGCCCCCAGACTTCGCAGGGCTCACCTGAACCAGCTGTGGAAGGTACTCCTGTAGTTCATCGTTCGGGAGTCGGTCTAGCTGATCAACCGCCACTTTGCGGATTTCTTGATCTGGGAAACTGACAGAGGAGACACAGGGCTATCAAGATGTGGACAGGAAGGGAGAAATCACATGGACACTTTACCCAGTGACAGAATCTCACCTTACAGCTAGGGGCTAAGCACCAGCTAAGGGATCCTTAGCACTAAATCATCATCATCATTATTGTTGTTGTTGTTATTTTTTGGTTGGTTGTGGGTCTTGAACTCTGGGCCTGGGCGCTGTCCCTCAGCTCTTCAGTTCAAGGCTGGCGCCCTACCACTTGAGCCACAGCTCCACTTCAGGTTTTCTGGTGGTTCACTGGAGATCAGAGTCTCACCCACTTTCCTGCCCAGGCTGGCTTCGAACCATAATCCTCAGATCTGTCTCCTAAGTATCTGGGATTACAGGCATGAGCCACCAGCACCCAGCAAATCATTGTTATTATTTTCCTATATTCCAAACTCATGCAATGCTGTAGTAGAAAGCTCTTTGGCCTGGATTTGTGTGTGTGTGTGTGTGTGTGTGTGTGTGTGTGTGTGTGTGTGTGTGTGCTGGTCCTGGATTTGAACTCAAGGCCTAGGCGCTGTCTCTGATCTCTTTCACTCAGCCTGGTGCTCTACCACTTAAGCCACAGCGCCACTTCTGGTTTTCTGGTAGTTAACTGGAGATTAGAGTCTCACAGACTTTCCTGCCTGGGGCTGGCTTCGAACCCTGATCCTCAGATCTCAGCCTCCCAAGCAGCTAAGATAACAAACATGAGCCACTGGTGCCTGGATGAACTTTTCTTCCTTTAAACGTTATAACCATAAGAACTGGTGAGGTCTGTAGGCCAGGCACAAATTGGGAAGTATTGCTGAAGTTGGAGATTTTTGCACAGCAGCACGCATACGCACACACACACACACCACACACACACACACACACAGAGTCAGAGAGCAGAAGGGTCGGATAAAAATGTGTCGCTAGAAGGTCGGCTTCTTTATTTCTTTAATTGCATTAAGACTTTAGATTTCATCTGCCTAAATGCAATTGACTCGCATGCATTACTCTCAATTACGGACGCGTTTGTCTGGAAGCTTATGAGAAGTGTCAAGGTCGACTCAAGGATGTTTTGCAGGCTTGGCAAAAATAGGTGCTTGCTACACTTAGAGGCCTGAACGATGCTTTTAGGTTCGATTCCAGTCAGCCCAGCTCTCTTTTTGAACCTTTTTTTCTGACCATAAAGGAAGGTAAAGTGCACGCACACACACACACAGACACATATCATAAAAATAACCCCGAATGTAAACTTGTTCAACCACTTTGGAAAGCAGTATGGAGGTTCCTCAAAAGACTCCACATAGAGCTCCCCTATGACCCAGCAATCCCACTTTTGG